CACCTTTGGGCCATTCGTTTTTAATAATCCCACCTTTGAGTTATTTTTTAATAATCCGACCTTTACCCCCCATTCTTTTTTAATGGTCCTATAACAGGTTACATGACACGTGGCGGCCTGTCATTGGTAAAAAAAAAAGAAAAAAAAAATGGAGTAGTGAAAGCATGAAAGTCGCTCGAAGGCAGCTTTAATGGAGAATTCACAGGCTCCTTGAAATGGATGAGAGAGAAAATGGTTGAGGAGAGAGAAAGTCTGCTTGATTTTTGGGAAATAAATTGAATATGTGTGAAACAATTTGGGCCGCTCATCATGCGCGCATCCAGCTTAGATCTAACGGTCGTAGTTAGTTCCTAGTTCCTATTGTTATACACCACCACCGAAATCCCCAAAAAAAATCGAAAAAATCATACAGTAAAATAAATTTAACACAATTGAGCAAAAAACTGATAAATTTAAGCTGAAATAATCGAAATCAAACTAATAAAACTTAGCACAAAAAATCTAACACAACTGAACAAATTAAGGCGTAAAATCGAACAAAAAGTGAAAACTAAAGCCGAAAATCGAACCATAATTGAAGAAATTAAACCGAAAAAAATAAAATAAATTGAACATATACATTTAACAATCAAATAAATTGATGATGAAATTGATAAACTTAACAATTTGATGATAGAATTTCCATCAAAAACATGAAGAGAGAGAGAGAGAATTGCTTGAAATTTTAGAGAGAGAAGATGCATGAAGGAGAAACTGAGAAAGAAGCAAGGGAGCGTATATCTAATACACGAAATTAATCTACTCCGTCAGATTAGAATTAATGATCTAGATTGCTTGTTTTTAGTTTTCAACCTTAGACTAGTTTTCACATGATCCATTCCCTATATATATATATATATATATATATATATATATATATATATATATATATATATATATATATATATATAATAGTATTTTTTGGTTCCACACTTCAATTAATACCAAACTCATACACAATTACCTATAATACACTTTTCTTATATAATTTCTAAATTTTATTTGTCAAAATTCCACCAAAAAAAAACCCTCTTTAAGTAAATGGATTAGTGATTTAGGAGTATAATTTTTTTATTTTCTTAATTTTTTTTTGAGAAACCTTTAGGAGTATGTTTTATGACAAAATAGAAGGCAAATGTTAAATCTAGTGCCATACAAAAATGATAAATGAACATATAAATGTCCAAAAAAAATATCAGCCATCCGATTTCTGACCGTTAATCACGTGAGCCTCACATCACATATGATCTAATTCTCCCATCCCGCCGTCAAACTATTCAAAAAATAAAAAAAGAAAAAAAAACTCTAAAAAGCCATAAAGAAAAAAAAATAAATAAATAAAAGGTCCATGTCTCCCCAACGGCTACTCCAATTGACCTTGTATAACCCCCCAAAAATCCTTCATTCTTTTACTCCCACAAAATAAAATCTCATCATAATTCTTCCAATTTTCACAAACATTCAAATCTCTTGTCATTCAATGGAATCAATCACACCTCCTCAATATCACAAATCAGAGCCAATTCACAAAATCAAATCAGCTTCAAGATTAGCTTTAATGGCTAATAACCCAGATTATGGGAGTGATACAGATAATCAAATCCCCCATTTTTCAGTAGAATATGCTCCTTCTCCGTCACTGCCGAAGCATCAAAAGACGCCATCATCTACACCTTCAAAATCATCAATTAATAAGCCGAAAAACTTCCTTCCCCTTCATGAACACCTGCTTCTTTCTCCCTCCCCTGTGCGGAAGTCCCGAACCCGGCTTTCGGACCGACTCGAAACAGCGGATGATTCTACTGAACATAGGAGGCGCTGTAAGACAAGGACTAGCTCTAATGGGTTAACTGCTTGTTATTCGCCTCGAAATCTTAGGAGATCAAGAAGAAAGATGATTGACGCTGAGGAAAGAGATATTGTTGGTGTTGATGAAGTTGTGAAACCAAGAAGAAGAAGAGTTAGTGGAAAGTCTAAGAAAGAGAAGATTACTTCACTTCCTTCTCTTACTCCTTCAAGTAATTAATTTCCCCTTTTCTTTAATTTATGTGTTTTTACTCTTTTGTAATTTCTATAGTTATTAAATTTACAAATTGGGTTTTGTGAATTAGAAGGCAATGCTGGAGAAGAATGTGCATTGGATCATCTTGGACAGATAATATGGGAATTGATTATGTGGAGAGATGTTGCTAAATCAACCCTTTGGTTTGGTTTTGGGTGTCTTTGTATCTTATCTTCTTGCTTTACTAAAGGACTAAACATTAGGTAAGAAAATCATTATTTTTTTTAAATTGATTGTAGTTATATCTTCCTAATGGCTTAGAATTTTGTTGTTAATTGGGTATATACTATATGTCATCATTTGCTTCGCAATTTGAAGTATAAGGTACAGATTTAGAATGATTAAACTCGCTAAGCATTCAGCAAACTAACACACTATAATTGTGTTTTTTTAGCCTTTTCTCAGTAATCTCCCAACTTGGTCTTCTACTTTTGGCAGCATCATTCATTACAAATTCTTTGCATCAAAGGTAAAATTATGCAATTCAATTTAGAAAATTACACAAAAACTTACTAGTACTACGTTTACTTATCTAAAATGTTGTCATTTATGTAGGGAAAGCACGCCGAGAAATGTGGAAGTAAGCTTGAAAGAGGATGACATATTGAGAGCAATTAGAGTGCTGCTGCCAGCTCTTAACCTCGTAATTTCGAAAACAAGAGAGCTTTTCTCTGGAGAGCCATCAATGACCCTTAAAGTAAATTATAGTTACAAATACTTTTCAGTTTTTACTCAACTATCCAATTATTTGGAAATTTTCATTGCTTTCAGCTATTTCTTAAAGCATTCACATTTGCAATGATGATACAGGTAGCTTTGTTTCTCTTGGTTGGCTCGGCTTATGGTCACCTTTTAACACTTTGGAGACTTTGTGCACTTGGTACAAAACATTTAAAGTTGTATACTTTTCCTTGAATGCATTTTTATTAGATACCTTAGTTGAGTTTTTATCCTAAATTGCAGGATTTTTAACTAGCTTTACGGCCCCGAAGCTATACTTCTCATATGCTGCTCAGATAGATAGCAAAGGTACAACCAAAATAGTAAAATAAAAAAATAAAATAAAAAAACTGCCCTCTAATTAACAAGACAACTGTTGTTATTTAGGCAGTGACAGAATTTTACTTTATTTTTTATTCACTAGCTGAGCAATGCAAGTTAAGGGTACTTGAAGCATGGCGAGCGTGTTACCACAAGAAGATTGTAGCTGCATCAGCGGTTTCAGCCTTCTGGAGTCTGTCAAGTGTCAAAACCCGAATCATTGCAGGTGATGCCTCTTATCTTGTATTAGGCACAATATTCGTAACAAGAGTAAACTCACAAGTGCTATGTTGAGTAATCATTTGAGTTTGTTCCCTGTAAATGACCTTTATGCTCACTGGTCTTGAATAATCAGTAACATCTATGCAAAGAAGCGATGTCACATGTGCTGTCCTAAAGTAATGTTTGGAGTTTGTTCTCCAAAAGCAACCTGCACCCTATTGAAATCTTTTGCTTATTAATGGTCACTTGTTGGTTTCACATAATATAAACCACATAAATTAGGAGTAGAGCCAATTTTCCTTTCATTGCTTTACCCGGCAGAATGTTTAACTGAACAGATATTCCTGTCGAGGTCCTGTCAGATTTTGATAACGAGCTGAGACAGGTTACTAAGCTTTGTGGCATTGACTACATATTTGAACTTTGCGATTTTATCTGGAAAAAAGGTTTTGAAACAGGGAAATGCACTGAATTGAAAAGCTGTCAAGTGCGAGATAAGAGTCATAAAAATCAACCATGTGGCTAATGGAAATATAATCAATGCAAAAATTTTAGAATCGCCAGTTTTTAGCAAGGCTTGGGTTTTTGGAAATACTCTGTGATAGTATAGATTAGTAGTTCAGTCAAGGAGTATTCCATCTGAGTGCTTGTTCTGCTACCGTTGCCACTTATAATAGATAGGAGGAAGACAAAAATAAGGCGAAATATGAGGATGATTAAGTAGCAGGAGGTTCCTCAGATTTTTCCATGGCTGCGTGACCCAATCCTATTGCACTTGCCCCTATTCTGGTATCTGGCAACCACATTTTGGGCTGCCTAACAGTTTAAGAGATTGCTTCTCAAGTACAATCAGCATTCAGTTGGGTGGTGGTCACAGGGACCTCAAATTATGCTTGTGAACATTAGAACAATTCAATTCCTATAAGTTTCAAGATTTGATTTCTTAAAAATAAACTCATAGTGTAAATTTCAAGATTTGATTTCTTAAAAATAAACTCATAGTGTAAATTTCAAGATTTGATTTCTTAAAAATAAACTCATAGTGTAAATTTCAAGATTTGATTTCTTAAAACTTGATGGTATAGTGTAGCATATGCTGCTGTTTGTTATCTATCTCATTAACATGTGTTAACAATTATGGTTACATTGTTCAGCTGCTAGGGCATCTACTGAACTCAATCTGTTTTTTTTTTTTTTTTTTTTTATTTCTCTCTCTCTCTCTCTCTCTCTCTCGCAGCTTTCATTGCCTTAGTGATACTGCGATACTATAGGCAAGTCTCAGAAACCAAATTAGAAGAACCTTCACCAACAGAAGAGGAAGTGCAGCCAGGAAAACGAGCTGTAATAGATGAAGAAGAAAAGGAGCCAGAAAAGGCACTGGTTGTGGCTGATGGAAAATCTAACAAATAAGTGATACTTTCAGATACCGAGTAAGCTGGCATCCCAATTAATGTGAGAAAAGTGGGAAAAGTGACTGCTAAATCCTACGAGTTAGAAGTTTACAAGAAAAGTGGGAAAAGTGACTGCTAAATCCTACGAGTAAGCAGGCATCCCAATTAATGTGAGAAAATTGGAAGAACCTCTTCCACATTCATGTACAAATGTAACTTTCATATTATTATTTTTGCTTGTAATAAAGAGAATGTTGATCCAAATTTTTATAAATTCACTTCTTCAGTCAACTTTTCATCATAATGGTGAGTATATAGAAGGTTCATTAGATCTTGAACTTCAGGGTTTGACATTCTACCAGAAGCGAACTCTTGAACTTCCCCATTGGTTTCAATGGAACTACATCCCTTTTCTTTTAGAACTTGCTTCTCTTTCATCTCAACTCGCTGTTTGATGGCACTTTTAAACTGACCTGAGGCTGCATAGACATTAGACACAAGTATATATGCCGAACTATCATTAGGGTCAATCTCACGGATATGAATTCCAGCCCGTTCTGCCATCTCAATATTTCCATGCTTCCTACAAGAAGAGAGCAACGATCCCCATATGATAGCATCCGGTTCTATTGGCATCTCTCTTATTAGCTGTTCTGCTTCATTGAGAAAGCCTTCTTGACCTAACATTTCAACCATGCAGTTGTAATGCTTAATTGATGGCTTAAGTTTGTATTTTTCAGACATTAACAAGAAAAGTTCTCTGGCTTGTTTGACATCACCCTTGTTTATACAAGCTGTCAGAACTCCAAGGAAAGTGACATCATTAGGCTCTATGTTTAAGGAGGTAAGCTGTGAGAATAACTGGAGCGCTTCCTCTTCACACCCATTATTTGCTAAGCCTAAAATCATAGAATTCCAACTTGATAGCCCTTTGATGGTAGCCTTCTCAAAGACTCGACGTGCCTTGTTGATGGCACCACATTTGCAATACATGTCCACAATTGCAGTAGTCACAAGGACATTAAACTCAAACCTGTTCTTACTTATATATTGGTATATCCATTCTCCTTGTTCAAGGGATCCCAAATTTGCACAAGCGTTTAATAAGCTAACCATTGTGAATTTACTTGCCTTGATCCCCTCCTCTTGCATCCTCTCGAAAAGCTCCATAGCTTCCGTAAATTTATCATTCCTTACATACCCACTTATCATAATATTCCACGAGATGGCATTTCTCTTCGACCCCATCTTATAAAATAATCTCCTTGCTTCATCAATCTCCCTCTTCTTTGCTAGGCCCATGATCAGTGAGTTCCAAGCCACCACATCGAAATCCTCCTCCCTTTCAAAGAGCTTATAGGCTTCACTCAAACTTCCGGAGTTTGCATACATATGAATGATAGTATTCCTTATGAAAGGATCAAACTCAAGGCCTAATTTTATTATTCTTCCATGAAGCTGAGCTCCATAGTCAGTAAGTCCTAGTTGAGCATATGCTTTAAAGAGAGAAGGGTAGGTGAGGCTTTGAGGTTCAATTGTTGAGTTGTTTAACATGTCCACGAAGAGTAAAATCGCGTTATGAGGTACCGAGCTTTGGGAGAAACCCCGAATAATGGTATTCCACATAAAGAGGTTTGGATTATGGATACGGGAGAATATGGAATAAGCATAGTAAATGTCAGCTGCAGGGGATGTAGCAGTAAAAGCTAATACACGACTGATGGCTATTGGATGCTTAGATAAGCCGGTTTTTACGAGGTGGGCATGGATTTTCTTAAGGTCATGCATTGTGTTGCAGTGATGTTCAAGCATTGTGAGGTGATAATCATTGGACATGAACTTTGAAATGTTGTTTTGTGATGGAGTGAGCATGCAATGGCTCATTGTTCCCATGTTTTTTTGCTTATATTCTTATTTGTGTTGTGAAGGGTGTGTTTGATTTGTAGGAGAGAAAGAAACTACCTTGGGAGCGTTCTGAAGCGGCTGCAGCATCTGTTGTCACTTTTACCAACTGTATAAAGATTTGCTTCTTAAGCTGCTAGCTCGATCTTATGGTCTGGCTTTCGAACCGGAAGGGCTTAGATTGATTTGCAGGAATGTGTGGTCATCACAACAGCGGAGAGGATAGTACTGATAAATATTCTGTAAATTTTAATCCCTCCCAAAACCCACTGGATATTTGTTGAAGCGCAGCCACAACTTAACAACAAATATACGGAGTATACATGTTCTTTCTTTTCATTTTTTTTTCTTTTTCCAATTACGATTGGAGAAAACCTTCCGCATGTCAACCTAAGTCTGAATCAGTAATTTAAGGCATTGTTCACTTCACCTTATATTTGTTGAACTAAAACAATTTTTATTAAATTGAAATTATTTTTACTAAAATAAAATTATGTTTTACTGAGTTTAAATTATTTTTATTGATTTCTATTATATTTTTTGTTTATTGTTACTTATTTTTACTAAATTAGAATTACTTTCATTGAAGTGAACAAGACCTTTATCATTTAGGAGTGGAGAGAAGGGGAGGTGGGGGGAAGGAAATTAATAAGTTAATATCCTAATTATCTTTTTGATTTACTTATACAATTCTACACGAGTGCAAAACTAAAGTAAAACATTCTCTTCCGCTAACGAGAGGTAAGTTCTACTATGAACTGTGAAAAAGTGTGAACAACTCATAAGCTATTACTTACATAGTCGATTTCAACTTTGCATTTTCTTTCAAACAACATACATGTACCTACCGGGTTTGCGATGATTTTTTTTTTTTATTATTATTATCCAATCATTATCGAGGCTTTTGCTTATGTTCATTTTATAATGACTTAAGCCAGTAAAGGTGGGCACGGGCCGGGTTGGCCCGCGGGCGGCACGGGCACGGCACGGTGGCCCAGCCGTGGGCCGTGGGCCGTGGGCCGTGCCACGGACAGCGTTTTGATTTTTCTGGTACGGCCCAGCACGAGCCCGCTGGTAGCCTGTCGTGCAAACGGTCAAAAACAGCCATAAACGACTATTTTGCCAATTTTTCTGTTGGAGCAACGGCCATAAACGACTCTATTTCCCCTATTTCTTTCCCAAATTCCCTATAAATACCCAATTCCATTCACTTCCCAAATCACAAATTCACAATCTTCCTCTCTTAATCTCTTATATTCTCTAATAATTCTCTTAAATTCTCTAAATATTATTTCTTAATATCGGAAAAAATTAAAAGTTCGTAATCGTAATTAGTAGAAAGCGTTGAAGCACGGTGTAAGATCTAAACTAATCTTCAATTTATTATTGTTGTTACTATTATTATTACAATTATTGTTAGTAATTATTATTGTTGTTATTGTTATTGTTATATTTGTTGTTATTAATTATTATTATTGTTATTATTATTGTTAAAATTGTTGTTATTAATTATTATTGTTGTTATTTTTATTATTACAATTATTGTTATTAATTATTATTGTTGTTATTGTTAATGTTATAATTGTTGTTATTAATTATTATTATTGTTATTATTATTGTTAAAATTGTTGTTATTAATTATTATTATTATTATTATTAATTAGTTATTAATAAAATTATTATTGTTAATTATGGCATCAAACAACCCATCATCATCTAGGGGGAAGGGGAAACCCCGACTTATCCGTGGTAGTAGTTCTAGGGAATCACCTAATCCAACGAGCCCCCAAATTCCGAGTCCAGCCATTCCAACCAATGACCCCGGTAACGTCCCCCTAGGCTTTGAACAATTTAGGCACGATGGTACTTCCGGTTTTTAACCCTACAATATGCCCGGATTTCCACCACCAAACCAATTTCCACAATTCGGTCAATTCCCACCAAATTACTTTGACCCACAAAATTTTTATTCTAGCCAAGGTAGCCAACAAACCCTAAATGCCTCCGATTCTACTACTAACCCACAAAACCCCGATTCTACAAACACCCAATTTCCAAACACACATGAGGAATGGTTAACCGAGAGTGAGATGGTACTTGTCAAAAGTTGCAAAAGTGAGGTATGGCGTTATTTCCTCCTAAGTAGAGACCACCTAAGAGCAAAATGTAAAACATGTGGTCATTCATTCTCGGCAAAATCCACATCGGGGACGGGACACTTAACTAGACACATGAGAAGTTGTGCTAAACCAGCTAGTGATCCAACCCAGCCAAAAATTTCCCAATTCCATCCACACGGCTTTACCTACAACTATGAGAGGGATAGGGATGAACTAGGGAAAATGATAGTACACACCGAACAACCTTTTCTTTTCTCCGAAAGTGACCCATTTAACACTTACATTAACAAAGCATTACAACCCCAACATAAAAGAATCTCTAGGAAAACCGTTCATTCCACCGCCATGAAAAACTTCCTAGAGTACAAAATGCGGTTACAAGCCGAATTGAGTAACCTTAACTGTAGAGTGTCTTTGACTGCCGATTCTTGGGATAGTGGTTATAAATATCACTATTTATGTGTGACTTGCCATTGGGTAGATGGTCAATGGTTGTTACAAAAACGAAGAATCCATTTCAAAATGCTGGAATACCCCCACACCGGTATTAACATTGCTCACCATTAAATGGAAGCAATAAATGAATACAACCTTCGAGATAAAATGATGTCTATTACATTTGACAATGCAACCGTAATGACATATACTGCTAATTATGTCAAACAAAACTTGACCGATGTAATATTAGATGGTGATGCACTTCATACTAGATGTGTTTGTCATGTTCTTAAATTGTGTGTATAGGATGGACTTAGAGCAATGGGTCCATACTATAACAAAATTAGAGAAGCTATTATGTCTATTAATAGCTCAAACATGAGATACCAAGAATGGAAGAGTTTTCTAAGACAACAAAAGATAAGGGCAATAAAAATCAAAACCGATTGCCCAACTAGGTGGAATTCCACCTATGACATGTTAACCAACGTAATTGAGTACAAGAATCCGTTGAAAATTTCTTACAACCAAAAATTTCCAAACAATGCTCTATATGAGGATGATTGGGCTAAATGTGAACGATATATGCAATTTTTACAGTTATTATATAACATGACGTATTGTTTTTCTTCTGTTTATAATCCTTATGCTCAAAACTTTCTTTCAAATGCATGTTTACTCGCCCAACTTTTCGCTGATCATCGCAACCAAAGTGATTATGATCAGTATCTTCCAGCAATGGAAACAAAGTGGCGTAAATATTATAGTGAAATTCCTTTGATTTATATTTTTTCTTCCATATTAGATCCTAGGCAAAAGTATGAAAATACATTTATGTTAGTTGACATTTACTTTCAATGCATGCTTCTTGACGATGATGTAGATGCCTATAAGACTAATGTGAAGGATCAGTTTTTTGCTTTATATAGAGTCTATGAAGCCAAATATGGCACCGTTCCTCGCTCAGGGCCTTCCCAACCATCCAAAAACGTAAGTAAGAAGCCAAACATTTATTTTCACAAGCTACTAACTTGATTTCAAGGTTTTCAGGTGATTCATCAATAAGGAGAACGCAAAGCGATGTCTCGGAGTTGCAAATTTACCTGAGTTACGACTTCACCAAGGGCATGGACGACGATGAGATAAATAGCCTCAACCTCCTTGCATGGTAGAAACAACAAAGCACGAAGCATCCAACTTTGGCGACAATGGCACGAAACATTCTTGGTATCCAAGTCTCCTCCGTTGCCTCCGAACGAACTTTCAGCGCATCCGGGAGGGTTTTAGACGATAGAAGAACAAGTCTAAAACCCGAAACACTTAAAATGTGCGTGTGTTTCAAAGATTGGTTGGATGCGGAAAATCGGTCACAAGACCGTTCTTACGACGACAACGACAACGATGAAGGAACCTCCACTTCCGACCGTTCGGGTTCGGCTAGTTCCCAATCTATGCAACTAGCCGATGACCTTGAAGCCGAAGACGAAGACGAAGACGAAGACGCACAAGAAGAAGAAGAAGAAGAAGAATAGATAATTTTTGTATATTGTACGATTTTTATCATTATCAATATTATCAATTTATCATTTTACGATTTTTATCATTATCCAATTTTTGTTTAATATCCTTGTACGATTTTTGTCATTATTATCATTGTACAATTTTTTCAAGTAATAATAATATGAAGTATGCATTATTCACATCCAAAGTCCAATTTGCCTTTTTTTCGTTAAATTATAATTCGTAAATTAATATAACAAAAATAAAATTATAATAATTAATAATTAATAATACAAAAATAAATGTAATAAATTATAAACATTAAACTATAAAGTAATAGTATAAACTAAATATATAAATTTAAATATAAAAAAAACATAAATATTAAACTTAATTATTTTAGAAAAATAATAATATAAGATTATAAGTTATAAACTATTAATAAATAAATAAATTAAAAAAAAAGGGAGGAAGGCAGCAGGCCAGGGCAGCACGGCACGAGTCCAAATGGCACGTGGGCCGTGCCGTGCCGTGGGCTGGCCTGTGACTTTGGGCGGCACGGCACGGCACGTCTACTCAGGCACGGTGGCCCGCCAGGCACGGCCCGTTGGAGCACGCGGCCCGCCAGGCACGGCTCGGCACGGTGCCCACCTTTATAAGCCAGTTTTGTAAATACAACCCCTGTTCATTCGTGGTCTAATTTGTGTGTCATTTCCTAATCCCTGTTTATTCGTGGTTCGTTTGGTGTGTCACTTCCTAACGATACAACTTAAGAGAAACGGAGGTATGCAAACTGAACGAGTACATGCGAAATGAAATGCCTAGAGACGACCAAGAATGATTAATCGGTTGAAATTACCCTCATAAGTAAAGACACTTCTCGCCAGCATCTTGTCAGATCATGGACTAAATTTTCTCATTGATTATCTTGAAGCAGATGGAAACAATGGAGTCACCTATACGACCCCCCCACCCCCAAAACAAAAAAAAAAAAAAAACACTTGTCTAAGCATGAATATTAGTCGTTGGATGTATCAAATTGTAAGGCTATATTGATGTGAATCAAGAGCCTAATTCTTTTGAAGGGTCTAATGCACTTTTAGAAGGTCTAAACAACTCCATTATAGGCTGCCCAAACAAAGAAATAAATAAGGAAAGGTTCAATAGCTTAAATTGGAAAGAAAGAAGCATGATTTCCAAGAAAGAAGAAATGGAGCAGTTTACTTCCGACGAGGATATCGGCCACCACGCGCAGACTCCGACCCCACGCGCCGACTCCATAGCTCAAGCTTGGACCCACCTTGACGGTGGTTAGGCGCGTGCACCTCCTTGGTGGCACGTGCATCGAGTTTTGGCTCCGACTTGAAATGGAAGATTTTCCATACTTAGGTTTTTTTCTAGAGTTTTGGTTGCAAGGTTTTACCTTTCACTTGAAAGGGTTTTTCTTGGTTTAAGCACTTAGGATTCCTTCTAATTTATGTTATTTTAGCTTAATAAGTTTCCTTAGTTGATTGGGATTTGTTTTAGGAATTATAGACTAAGTTAAACTAGTCTTACTACTAGTTTCCTAATTTAAGTAGAACTAGTTTTCCTATTCTACTACCTCCGTTAATGATTATTTGCAACAATTGTACTTTTCACGGAGGTCAAGGCAAAACTTTTAAGGCATGATTATTGAAAAATAAGGGCACTTGGTTAAGTATTAATCCTATCTAAAAAATAAAAAAATAAAAAATAAAAAAAACAATTAAACAAAAGCATATCACCACTGAAACCCAATACCAGAACCACCACCAAAACCACTGACAACCACCAGAACCACCAAACCAATCGACACTGAACCCAAAACACCACCAAAACCAAACCACGAACCCAACAAACCACCCACGAACCCAGCAAACCCAAAACCCAGAATCACCATAACAACCGACACCCACAACTAACCACCACCAAAACCCAGGAACCACCAAAGCCACCGAAACCCACAACCCAAAACCACCACCAAAACCACCGGAATCCAACGACGAACCCAGAAAAACCACCAATGAACCCTTCAAACCCACCCACAAACCACCAAATCCTTCGAGTACCACCAAAACCAACCCTTCAAACCAACCCACAAACCACCAAATCCAACCACGAACCACCGACAAACCCTTCAAACCCACCCACAAACCACCAAATCCAACCACGAACCACCGAAACCTTTCAACTACCACCAAAACCAACCCCCACGAACCCAGCAAACCCAACCATGAACCCAGCAAACTCACCCACGATGCACCCTCACAAACCTGCTAACCCACCCACAAACCACCAATAAATTCAACCACAAATACAAGCAAACCACCGACAAACAACCAGATCTGGAACCTCCTTTAACAAAGGTTTGGAATTTGATGAGAGATGAAGAAAAGGAAATGAGAGATGAAGGAGGAGAGAGAAAGATTATTGGGGAGATCAATTGAGATTCATTTGATTATTAGGGTGGTAAGACATACATAATTAATTTAGATTAGAGTTATAATGATTTGTAATTATGTGTAGTATTATGTGTTAAAAAAATTTAAATGAGGGTATTTTTGTCATTTTAATAGAAAAAAGTTACTAAAATAGGAAAGAAATAAGTTTGTAGTTAGCACCCACTTTTAATATATGTTGCAAATAATTGTTAACGGAGGTAGTATTTAGGTCACATGGAGCTAAAGGCTAGGGGCTTGTCCTAGTTCTATTATTAGACTTAGAATTAGTTAGTTTTAGTCTATAAATAGGGGATTTTCGTGGCTTTGTAAGACACATAACAAATACACAAAAATTCATTGTTTAGCTTTTTGCTTAAACGTTTTTGTTACTTTTCAATTCAAGGAGTTAGTTGAAGATTAGAACATTAAACACCTAGTGTTTAAGAGTAGGCGAAGAGTTTAATCTCAAAATAATTAGCGTCCAGGAGTGGGTTAATTAATTTGGGGATTCAAATCATAAGTTTCAGGAGTGATCTTGTGAGGAGAAATATCGGTTCGTTTATATTCAATCTTAAAGAAATCCTTCAAGATTGGATTTTTATTTCAAGATTGTGGGTTTTCTAAAAACTTGACTAAACAAGGGGTTAGAATCCACATCATATATGGTTAACATCTTTAACACTATTGGCAACGAGAAAAAACATTAACGAGGTAAATTTAAACCACATAAAAAAAATTAAAAAAAAAAAAAAAAAAAAAAAAGGCATTATTTATGAATACAGAGGCAATGCTTCTTCAATGATGATTTTGTGAAACTCATGAAAGTTGCAAAGCAATAACAATAATAATTCACAAACCAAAAAAGATAGTAAGAAATCCACTTCAAGCTATCGACCTAACAACTTCTAATTTTCTTCAGCAATATTCACCAACTCATATTCCACGTTGGAGAGATTGTTAGCTTCCTTGACCTGGAAGCTAGCAGGATCAGTGACCTCAACACGACCCCATTTGTCAACTGCAAGCCGCATAGAACCCTTGAACATATCAATCTTTGCATTACGCAAGATTACTGTAGCATCAGGCTGCATGAGGTCAACTACAAGAGCAAAAGGTCGATCAGATCAAGTCTGATGGAGATACAACAGACGAAACAGAATCCAATTGCAAAAAACAAAAAAAAGAATTCTCATTGTTCTAAACAGAGAATGAGAAGATGCATTACATAGCATCCGATATGATAAGATAGTGGAGATCATAATCTAGCCAAAACTGTATTAGACACTTCATAGTAAGCTTAAAGATAACCATGAAAATCTAGTGGTTGAAAATGGACCCAAATTACAAAGATATGAGGTCACGACCATTATCAACCACTAGAATCTCACAGGCATCACTAAGATGACCATAGAAGTGTTTTTATTCTTTAACTCATACCCATTTGGGTCAATGCTGCTTCATACTATCAAATTATTACTTTATTAATTACCTAAAATATAACCTATTATGACCCTAAACACTTCATTACAGCAGCTAGCAATCATTTCAACAATTGTTATATCTATTATAAAACTAGTATATCAACACATCTCCTTATATCACCATGTTACTGTAGGGTGATCAAAGCTTCATTAATACTATCTTTAAGGAAAATTACAGGTTTCAATCTGAAGAATTAAACACTGACCACACATGTTTCTAGAGCTACGGTACATAGATGGGAAATAAATAGCATGAATTGGATTTGACTTGAGATAATTTGATTCAAATGATATTTGAACTTTGCTAGACCTACTTATCTCCTAGGTGCATCTGCCCTCTCTCGCAGCAAAGCCTACTGAGTTGTACAACAAGAATTATAAATAAAGGATGCAACCATAACCAAAATATGAATGACTTCTTAAGATGCAAATTCTATGACTAATACTAAAACAAAAGCCGTTGACATTATCATTGTTCACACGTCAGCTTTTTCATCAATTCATCATTTTCCATTTAAATAAATTTTTACTCTATTTTAATATTCATAATATACTAATGATTCTACACTTTTCCACACACATTTATTACAAAACTTTTAATTTCCAAATACTATCAATTGATTTTGCTTATTTGATTGATAGGAGTACTTCATTTATATATTCGGTATATTTTCGTTCCATAAACCTTCATCTATATCTAATTTGTCAAAAATTTGTGAAAACTGTGCATGGGAGACCAGGAGTACTAATCTAGTAAGATCTTGCACTCGTGTTGCCAGATCACTATATCCATCTAGAAAAAAGAAAATGATATGCTAATATCTCCTACAAATCAACCAATGACAAGCAAAAGACTGAAAAAAAGGTAGGGCTTATAGAATAACAAACACTTAGGGGTCATTTGGTTGGATCATTTGGAATGGGTTGGAATGGAGTTAAAATCCATTCCATCTAGTTTTTTGTTTGGTTGAGGTTTTTAGTAATGAAATCTCATACCCAAGGGGTTCTAACTCCTCCCATACCCATGAAATCTCATACCCACCCCTTCCCTAAGACTCACAATCCATTCTATTCATGAAGGATAGAATCCATTCCAACAATAACACCAAACAACTTTGGACTAGTATGGGTTTTAGAATCCATACTTCTCTAATATGAAATTCCATACCAATCCATTCGAACTTGTTGAATCAAACACCTCCTTATTAATTATGTTTTACTTGTAAATTGTTATTAACAAATTTGCCAATAATTGTTACCAATAAGTGATTTCTCGAATCTTTCATAGCTGGTAAAGATAACAAACCATTGCATACAAACAAAAATGGCAGCCCCAGATGCTAGAAACACCAGCAAAGACAAATTATTGACCCCTCTCAGGAATTGAATTACTTCACTTTAACCACCCCTTCACTTTCATCCCTTCAGTTTTCATTGTTCAACACCAATAAAGAAAAAGAAGAGAAAGGAAGGGAGGGGAAAAAGGAAGGAGATTTTACTTTTTAATGTTTGGTTGATGAAAGGAAATGAAAGGAAGAGAAAGGGAATATAAATTCTAACATTTATTTTTCTCTTTCTAGTCAAATTCCTTCAATTTTGGGAGTAAAAGAAAGCTAAAATTTTGTAAAGGGTCGTTCCTCCCACTGCCCTTCCTTTCTTTTGAAGTCTCATGCCATATATCAAACCAAATATGGGAATACTATTAAATCCTTTTCCTTTCTTTTCTTTTCCACCCAAATCCCTTCAACCAAAACAGTCCTAAAAAATTGATAAAGACCCAACCGGTACGAGGTAAGAAACCAAAATGTCAATAACTAGACAGCTTCAGACAGTAACCATAAATCAAGTTACAAATTTAACACAAATCAACCAATGACAAAAATTAAATGATACCCATGAAATACATATAGCTAAAAACCACAACACATTGACCTATTGTTAAACATCGAATCAAATACCGCCGCCAAAGCCCTTAATTTTGTTTGACACACAAAAGGAATCTATTGGGTCCAAATTGGCTAATTACAAGAACAGAGCATCAATTCAAAACCATAAAATCAACCAATAAAACTAATGTAATTCCCAATTTCATACCATTGAAGATTTCATAAACAAAACAACAAAATTAAATCAACAAATTAAATGCAAACTTAGAAATGAAAGGGAGAAAGAAATGTATACTTTGTTCGTTACGAGCGGTGAAGATGATAACGCCGGTTTCATCACCAACAACGCATTCAGCGATGCGAGTAGGACGAGGATTAAGAGAAGCAGAAGGAGCCGATCTTCCTTTGTTTAACACAGTTTTGGAGCTCACAACTTTGACAGTCAATGTATGGCCAGTAGTACCGGGCTTTAGCTGGTCAACTTTGATGAACACTGGCTTTCTCTTTGGAGTTGCAGTTGTAGGAGTTGTCGCCATTGATGGAATTCAAGAAATGAGATAGAAAGAGAAAGGGGAAATGAAAAAATATAAAAGCTTAAACCCTAACCCTAAAATAAATTGGAAAATAGTGAATACTGGAAAGTGTGAAGGTGAAATGAAACCCTAGTAAAGATGGAGGAGGTAGGGTTGGATGTGGGTAAGGTCGTGTTTACTCTTTAATTTTTGTTGAAATGAAATTATTTTGAAAAAAATTGTCCGAAATAATTTTACTTTTAGTGCGTCAATTAAAAATAAATTCACCTTTGGGTTATTTTTAAATAATCCGACCTTTATACTTAATCCACTTAAAATGGTTCCGAGTGACCTGTAACCGATTGAGTAAGTAATTATATTTATTAAATTTAATTTACACGTGTCACAACTTGATTTGTCCAAAATTAAAAAAACAATTAATAGATAAAGAAGAAAAGTAAAATCAAATAAAAGAAAAAGAAAAAAAAAAGGAAAATTGTAAACTAATAATCCCACCTTTAGGTGGTCTTCCACAAACAATCCCACCTTTCTAAAATCTAGAAACAATCCCACCTATTCCCCCTATCTTCCATTAACGATCCTTTTTACAGGTTACCCCTTAAACCGGTGAACCTATTCTATTTCCCTCCCTAAAGTCTTTCTTCTCCAACGGTTTTCCCCCAAAAAAAACATAAGTTTCGCCATTTTTATGAAACAAAGTAACAATTAAAAAAAAAATTAACTTTCAGAAACTTATCTTCATCGAAAGGACTGCAATTGTTCATTGATTGGAGGAAATTAAGGTCCTTAGCACAGCAATTCAAGGTGGGCTAATTAGAGGTAAATTTTCGACAAACCCTAGCTTTCTTAAATTTGCAAATTAAAGCAATTAAACGAAGATAGCTTCGATTAACATAGTGAAGAGTAATTTAAGTAGTTATTGAGACTGTTTGCGTATTGTAATGGGTCTTGCATGTTTGAAAATATATCATGGTGGGAAGTTTAAATTTGACAGTAATGGTTACTGGGTTTATTTGGGAGGGAAGTTCAGAACTTTTGATGTTGATGTTGATGAGTTGTGTTGGTTTTATATGAAGGAATTAGTTGCTAAATGTGGTAATTATTCTGGAAATTTCAAACTTTATTACTTAAATCCTGCACTTGACTTAAGGGGTGGGTTAAAGTCTGCATTTACTGATGATGAATTCAGAGAATTGGGTTGGGTAATGGTGGAGAACAGAACAGTAGACTTGTATGTAGTTGTTGATGATGTCCAGCCTGAATTTGTTAAACAATCCCAGACTGGATCCAATACCACAACCCAGCCCACTTCAGCCATTGTTGCCACAGAACATGAACCCAATAGGCCCAAAAAATTGATATCTAAGAGAGCTGGCATTTTGAGTCAGGCATCTAGTGCAGTTTCAGAGAAGCTGCATGTGTTGGAAAAGTCTAAAGGAAAAGCAGTAGAAGTGGTCCCCACTCTAACAACAAACAATTAACTTCAACCATTTCCTAGATCTAGTACCTCCATTTCATTACCAGAAAACCCTAAACAACAGCAACCCCAACTCAAACAGAAAACACATTAGAGCCTCATTCTGAATTCATTAGATGTGAAGTGTCAGGGGACTATGATTGGGAGGAAGACAGACCTAATAGCCCCATTGCCATAGATGAGTTACTGTATGGTTTAGGAAGTGATGAAGATAAAGATTATGTGTTAGAAGATGATTTGGAGGGTGAGTCTGATGCAGATGAGTATGAGGATGAGGTTAATCTCAGAAATGAGTATGAGGAAGAGGATTGGCTAGGTGATTATGAGATTTATCAAGCTAACTTTGATTTAGATGGGGAAGATGATGATGTTAGTGACATTGAAGAGTTGAAGGAGCCAGAGGATTTTGATGCTGATAGTAGTGATGATGAGCAAAGGGAGGCAAGGGAAAGAGTGAAAGGTTTCAATTGTAGTGTAGTAGAATTGGCACAATCACTACAAGTTCAAGCTGCTAAGGGTAATTTAGCTGCACAACAGGAGGGGAACAAAGGGGGTGAGAGTAGTATACAGGTTGGGGAGACTAGTAAACAAGCTGGGGATGGTGGAAAACAGGCTGGTTACAACTCTGAATATGAAGAATCTGATGAAGAAATTCACACACCTAGGGGAAGTGATGAAGAGGAGACAATTGGGGAAAGAAAGAGCAGGAGAGGTCTGCTTGTAGGGCTTGAGACTGACTTTACTCAGTTTCAGTGGAAAGTTGGGCATAGATTTGCAACTAGGGAGGACTTCAAGCAAGCTGTTGCTAAGTTTGCAATTTTTCAAGGTAGAAATATAACTATTGTGACAGCAAATAAAAGTAGGCAACAAAGAATTGGTGTGAGGTGCAGTGAAGGGTGTCCTTTTAGGTTGTATGCCTCTTGGGACTCCTGGAGAGGTTCCTTTGTAGTTAAAACAGTAGTGTCAAACCATAGTTGCATCAGAACTATGGAGAAAAACAAGCAGCTGAAAGGGTCATGGTTGGCAGAACAACTACTTGATGTGTTTAAGGCTAGGCCTCATTGGCCAGCTAAAGAGATCATTGAAACAGTCAGGAGAGCTTACAGGGTTATCATTAGGAAAGAGTTTGCTTACAAGGTAAAGTGGCATGCTCACAAAAAGCTTCATGGCTCCATGAGAGAGCATTATGGGAAGGTTGGCAGGTATCTTGAAGCCTTGAAAAGGTTCAGTCCAAACACACAGTTGGACTTAGTCACATACATGGACAAGAATAAGCCACCACAGATTTTTCAGAGGTTGTATGTCTGTTTTGAGGGATTGCAAAAAGGTTGGATGGAGGGTTGCAGAAAAATTATATGTGTTGATGCTTGCTTTTTGAAGACATTCCTAGGGGGACAGTTGATGTCTGCTGTAGGCAGAGATGGGAATGATCAGATGTACCCAATTGCTTGGGCAGTGGTGGAGGGTGAAAATAATACTTCCTGGGAGTGGTTTCTGAATAACCTCAGCAAAAGCCTTCAGCTTGGTGATGGTTCTGGAACTGTGATTGTGTCAGATGAGCATCAGGTATAAACTTTAACTGTTTTTGGTTTTTTTTTCCTGAATTCATTAATACATATATTTGGTTATGTTGGTTTTTTTTGCTGAATTCATTAATACATATTGCTTTACTAGGCCATTCTAAGAGGGGTTAGTGTGACACTCCCTCAAGCTGAGCACAGACATTGTGCAAGACATATTTTTTCAAATTGGCACAAGAATTTCAGAGGTGATGAAATGAAATTGATGTTTTGGAGCTGTGCAAAGTCATATAGTGAAGCTGACTATAGAGATGCACTTAATAAGTTGGAGACAACTAATGCTGCAGCTGCTGCAGGCTTCAAAAGTTACAACCCAAATGTCTTCTGCAGGGCATTTTTGAAAACTGATGTGAAGGCAGATGCCATCACATCTAACATGGCTAAGACATTTAATGGGTATATCATTAATGCTAGGGCAAAACATTTGCTTTATATGTTGGAGGATATAAGGGCAGCTTTAATGAGGAGGTTGGTGATTAAGAGGCAGGAAATGGAAAAATGGAAGAGTGTTTTATGTCCAAGGATTCAGAAGAAGCTAGAATCAGAGAAAGAGGAAGCTGCTAATTGTGAGGTCATTCCTTCTTCACAGAGTGTGTTTCAAGTGAGCCGTATCTTGGACACTATGTCTGTGGACCTAGAAAAAAGAACTTGCACATGCAGAAAATGGGACATGTGTGGGATCCCATGTTGCCATGCAGTGGCTGCAATTTTTTTCTGTCATAAGAAGGCAGAAGATTATGTTGATGAGTGTTATAAGAAGGAGATGTACTTGAAAGCATATGAGAATTCAATCCCTCCAATTGAAGGTGAAAGGCATTGGCCTCAATCAGAGTTGAGTATGGATCCACCCCCCATCAAAGTAGGACCAGGAAGGCCAAGGAAGAATAGAAGAAAGGGTCCATTTGAGGACCCTAAAAAGCCAGGAAAGTTGACCAAACATGGCATGGAAATGACATGCTCTGTGTGTCAACAAAAGGGCCATAATAAGAGAAGGTGCCCCAACAGAGGAACTACTCTGCCACAAGCCCCACAAACCCCAGATGAGCCTCCAGCAAAGAGATCAAGGGGTAGGCCAAGGAAAGAGGCTGCAGCTTCCCAACCTATGCACCCATGCTCTTCTACTCATCTAACAGCAACAGCTGAACCTTCAAGAATAGGAAGGGGAGGTAGAGTGATCAGCAGGGGAGGCAACTCAGCTGGAAGGGGAACTGGAAGAGCTAGGGGAAGGGATGCTCCAACTAGTAAGGGTGGGAGAACTGGTAGGGGAGGGGAAGCTTCAGGCAGTATGGGAAGAGGTGTTACCACAACAACAGGAGGTAACAGAGGTGGTAGAGGAACAAGGGGTGGTAGAGGATCAAGGGGTGGAAGAGGCAGAGGAAGAAATCAGGTCCCCCAAGGTTTTGGTGTTTATTTGACATCAGATGGCTCTACATTCACTAATGTATGACAGTAACTTATTGACTATTTTATTACAAAGCCTAATTATGTGGAAACAAAACTAACTCCTTTTTTTTTTCAATGCAGCCGCCAGGAAGTGCAGGACCTCAAGATGTTTCAGCATACACCACTACTTTCTCCTACAACTTCAGTCAGGGTTCCTTAAATTAGAACAACATGTAATAAGGATGTATTAGTTAGTTAAGATCAATGACATTCCTAAGTTTATGCAATTCAAACCTATGTTTATGTATCTTCATTTGAACAGAGTTTGTCTTGTATTTTGAAGAATTTCATGTTATGTTATATATGCTCTCTGTTTGTGCAATTTTTTCATATTATATATGTTGTATTAAAGTGTTTAAAACAGTGGCTGCAACAACAATTAAATTGCAAGAATTTCAGCAACAACAATTTAACCAAGCAACATAAGTCATATATTCATTGAAATTGCCATGGTTACAAAAGTCAGTGAAGGTCAGCACCTACACTACAGTCAAGCCCTACTTCCTTCTTTAAGTCAAGCCTAGCATACTGAATACCATCCTAGCATGCCAATTAAGCAAAAAAACCAAACACTTTCACGTCTGAAAACTACCCAAAATACAGATGTCCCAACC